ATGAAAGTGTTATCAAGGACGGGGTAAAATTTGTGAAGGACAAATTCCAGAAAGGGCTACTTGTTAAATTCTCATCGAAAAATGCCAAAATTTACACATTTGCATGGTCATATACACGTGATACCCTTCTGAATGGAAAGGAATAGGGGTGTCCCCTCTGAATTAAGAGCTGATTTAGTAGCTTGGTTAATAGACAGTTTAAATATGGAAATTCTCTACAATGGACTTATCTAAGTGGTGTAAATGAGAAGCCCTAAATAGAAATTTTGCAGTGATATCGATAGTTAGGCATGAAGGGTTTTCTGCTTAGGATGGATCAGAGGAGTGTGGAAAAGATGTGGAAGTGGCTGACAGGATGCAGGCAGCAAATAGCAGGACATACAACAGAGAGCGTCTTCACTGAAAGTCAGGTAGTTCTTAGAGTAAATGTGAAGTAAAATTGGGTTCTGATTGCTTCATTGAGGTGATCAACACCAGCTCTGGCAACAATCAGTATTCCACATCCCTGTCAACCCATAATTTTTGTGTTTCATACTTGAGATCTAATTTGATTATCTCTAATTATGCCCCATTGTCATGAAGCTGAAATTTTCAATTCTTTTGTACCAAGGATCAAACGCATGACCTATGCTTTCCAGGCAGGTGTTCATGACACTGAGCTAAATACGCAACTATGAAAATATTTTCTGTGTAGTATGGATGATATCCACATTGTTTCTGAGAAAGTGTTGAATATTGTTGGAATTTTTCTGTATTGTGTGGCTATATTTTTTTTTAAAACTAACCAAAGGTGTGTGATGCAGTCTCTTTTTAAGTTTCACTTTGTCTGTTCGGTGTCTCAATCAGGGTTTTCTATTTTAGACAGCTCTGTAAGTTAGGAAAGCCCCAAATTCAAGGAAGAAATCCTTCACCAGCCTCCCAAGATATATTTCTTATATTTGAATTGAAAGTGATCACTTGGTGACAGTGATGTTTAATTTACAGCTTGGGCCTGGTTTCATTTTATATACATATTTTTAAAATACAGCTGTTTTCCACTAACACTTGAGTTATTATTTATATACCATATTTGATGTTATTTATGTTTTGTTCTATGAAACCAAATTCATGTTTCAAAATTTTGCTTAAGTATATTAAGAACAAAGTACTCATTGGCCTAAATGAGATTTGAACAGACATCATCTGTAGTCTATCAAAGTGATTACGGAGATTTTTTATTTAATTTTGAAATTGGTAACATAGAACAGAACAAGGCAGCTTAAGGTCAACTAAGATCACACAGTGAAATTGTTACACAACTTCACAACAGGTTACTGGGATAACAGTAATATGTATCACAGTATATTTTGTTATCTTTATCATAGTTGTTCTTTAATCACATATATCAAAATGAGATGAAATGCAGAACATTATAGAACTTATCAAAACAGAATATTGAATTGAGCAGTACCATTAATCAGAATAGAGTGAAACAATAATAAAAACGTTTTCCTTCAAGGAGATAGTAGAAGGAAGTCCCCCTTATTTGCTATGGTCTACTTCCCAGGAGATGCTCAGATTTCTGGTTCCCATTTGCTAATGTGGGGTGACAGGAGAAGAGGGGTAGGGAAGTGGGATGTTTGATTCTAGGTGGTGCATCAGTAGGTTCAGTGTTGCTTACTAGGGAGACAGGCTGGTTGTTTGGTTTCACAGCGCCCTAAGTTCCAACATAGAACTGATCTTAGGAGCTGCTGCTGGTTATCCCCCTGGAAGGGCTGCAGTTTTCCAGACTGCCACCACTGACTACAGAGGGGAGGTGCTTGCTTGGCTTCCAAAGAAATTGATGAGACATTTATCTGCCTCTGTGCTTTGTGGTTGCTGGTGCTGCAAGCGTCTCACTGTGAGCTCTGCTTTAGAGAAAGAGCACAGGGAATCTTGCCATGACTCAGCACAAGAATCAGTGCTCCTATTTGGCTGTTATATTAGCAGTGAGTTGCAATCTAGTATCAAATTTGCTGTCTTCAAAAATGTATATAGACACAAAATTAACGACCAAGGCATAGATTTAAACTTGAACAAATCAGTCTTCATTCAGCTGTTTTGTATGGCTTTATTTGTTGAGTTTAGTTTTGTTTTACTGAGACAAGCTTTCTGTATGTATATCAGCTGGGTTTGAACACCCTATAGAGCCTAGAATTGGCCTGACCTCACTCATGCCTTCTTGTCTCGCCTTTTGAGTGCTGGGATTATAGATATGCACCACCACACTTTGCTTTTGATTCAGATTTGTAGGAGAGAATTTAAGATATCGCAAACCTGGGGTCTCAAGCTTCCTTTGAGAAATTTATGTATGATCCTTTAGGAGGCGGTGATCTTTGAGGATGTGGTTGTGAACTTCAGCAATGAGGAGTGGAGTTTGCTGAGTCCATCCCAAAAGAACCTCTACAGAGATGTGATGGGTGAAATCTTTAGGAACATGGCTGCAATAGGTAAGGATGAAATCTTTTTTGGCACTCATGCTGTCAGAATATTGTTTGTTGCTCATTAGTGCTGTTTTGTTAAAAAGAATATGAAAATATTTTTAAAAATAGCTCAGACCTGGACACATTATATCATAAATCTAAACAAAATCTATTAATTTGTATGTATTACTAAACTGAGTCCTGGTATTTCTATGTCTACAATTCAGGAGGACTTGGGGATATCCAGGAAGCTGAAAAAGAATGCAAAATTTACTGGAGATACTTAAGGTAATTCACACTCACAAGGAGAGGAATGTTCTTGAGTAATTAGTGAGTCAGCAGAAAAGTGACCACCAAAGAAATGAGGCACCATTCAATTTAATGTCAGTAATATTCTCCAAAGATGTATAAGCTAGTGTATATATGAGGGAATTAAATCATGAAAATGTATGACATTGCATATAGATCTGTACGAAAGGCATGCACTTTGAGTTATGACATTCTGCCTTCAGTTTTTCTACCCATATATACATGTGAAAACAACACTTTCATTATCTAACAATTGTTAAGATTGCAATAGAATGTGAAATAAAACTGAGTGCTCATGTTTCCAAGCCATGCTCTAGACAATCGGCGATTCTGACTAATATTATTAGTAGGCTGGTGGAATGTTAGTGCACTCATTTTGAATATCAGTATGCAGTTGGCTCTAGAAATTGATCCCCTCATACTTGTCCTGGATATTTTTAAAATCTCAAAATCTGCATAAAATACTGATACATGCTTAGTCATATACAAAGCAGATCATGTTATGACAGATCAGGCCTTGAAGCTTATCTATCTATCACTGGATTTGTGGAGAAGGAAAATTTTAATAGACTCTCTGGATTTTACATTCTTGTAAACCTAGGACACTAGGGTTTGCAAATCTGTTTGCAGAATGGCAATTTCAAGTTCAAACTTCACAGCTTAATGATCTATGAAAATCTCTTAAAATAGATTTTTAAAAAGCTATAGATTTATGCTAATATCTGTTGCTCATTCCCAGCCCAGAATGGAAAAAATGTGTTATATAATGTCAAAAAATAAATAATATAATGTCATTTGCCATAAGAATTAGATGGGTCTTTCACCCATCAATTCAGTGAAATAACAGCTATAAAACCTAAAAGGTCACTGGCTTTCTTTTAGAGGAGAAACCAAAATACAAAATGTGGAAAGAAATGAAACAGAGTTGTTAGAGAAAAGTAAGACTAACCAGATGGAAAAGGGAACTACAAATTAAGGACAGAAGGAAGATTGTGATCGGGAAACATATGAGAATAATCTGCATGTGATACATATATGTACCCATTCCCAAAGTGAAGGTAAAGATTATGCATTTCAAACTACCAACTTTTAAGATTTCCAAATGTGTACCAGTCTTTTGGGAATGGTTGTTTTCAACATATCTTACAAGGCCATTCTGTTGCTTCTTGGTCAGAATTTCTTAGCAGGCATTAAAAACAGAACTTGATATTAATGCAGTCATTAAACGGAGACCAATTTCACAGTGAATTTTTCTTTTTTTAAATTTAATATAAGGAAAGATTAAATAAGACAAAATAAGTAGAAATAATACTGCATTCAAAGTGAAAAAAAACAGTAACAAATAGCAAGATGATGATTACGAATGGTGATCATAGAAATAGTCATGCAATACAAAAGTGAAACATATCAAGTGGGGATTCAAACAATGAGACTGCAAACAGATTTGTTCAACTCTCGAAAAAAGCTTAGTAATATGGTTATAAATCCTATGTGTGATTTTTTCTTTCCAGAAATGACAAGCTAGGGAAATCTTATGGACATACATCTTGGAAGCAGTGTAAAGAAGTATTTCTTTGTAATGCAGAAGGTAATGTGAATGTGAAAGAAACAGAAACACACCACGATGTTCAGATCCATGAAAAATATTGCAGTGGAGAGAAACCCTATGTATGTAAGCAATGTGGGAAAGCTTTTACCAGACCTGGACGTTGTAAGGCACATGAAAGAATTCACACTGGAGAGAAACCATATGTATGTAAGCAATGTGGGAAAGCTTTTACCAGACCTGAATGTTGTAAGCAACATGAAAGAATTCACACTGGAGATAAACCATATGTATGTAAGCAATGTGGGAAAGCTTTTAACATACGTGCAAGTTATAAGGTTCATGAAAGAATTCACACTGGAGAGAAACCATATGTATGTAAGGAGTGTGGGAAAGCTTTTAACACATGGGGATACTGTAAGCAAAATGAAAGAATTCACACTGGAGAGAAACCCTACGTATGTAAGCAATGTGGGAAAGCTTTTAACACACGTGCAAATTGTAAGGTTCATGAAAGAATTCACACTGGAGATAAACCCTATGTATGTAAGCAATGTGGGAAAGCTTTTACCAGACCTGGACATTGTAAGGAACATGAAAGAATACACACTGGAGAGAAACCATATGTATGTAAGCAATGTGGGAAAGCTTTTAACACACAGACAAACTGTAAAATACATGAAAAAATTCACACTGGAGAGAAACCCTATGTATGTAAGCAATGTGGGAAAGCTTTTACCAGACCTCGATTTTGTAAGGAACATGAAAGAATTCACACTGGAGAGAAACCATATGTATGTAAGCAATGTGGGAAAGCTTTTACCAGACCTGGATTTTGTAAGGAACATGAAAGAATTCACACTGGAGAGAAACCATATGTATGTAAGCAATGTGGGAAAGCTTTTAACACATGGGGATACTGTAAGCAACATGAAAGAATTCACACTGGAGAGAAACCCTACGTATGTAAGCAATGTGGGAAAGCTTTTAACACACGTGCAAATTGTAAGGTTCATGAAAGAATTCACACTGGAGAGAAATCCTATGTATGTAAGCAATGTGGGAAAGCTTTTACCAGACCTGATCATTGTAAGGAACATGAAAGAATTCACACTGGAGAGAAAACCTATGTATGTAAGCAATGTGGGAAAGCTTTTACCAGACCTGATCGTTGTAAGGAACATGAAAGAATTCACACTGGAGAGAAACTATATGCATGTAAGCAATGTGGGAAAGTTTTTAACACACGTGCACATTGTAACGTTCATGAAAGAATTCACACTGGAGAGAAACCCTATGTATGTAAGCAATGTGGGAAAGCTTTTACCAGACCTGGACGTTGTAAGGAACATGAAAGAATTCACACTGGAGAGAAACCATATGTATGTAAGCAATGTGGGAAAGCTTTTAACACACGTGCAAATTGTAAGGTTCATGAAAGAATTCACACTGGAGAGAAACCATATGTGTGTAATCAATGTGGGAAAGCTTTTAAAACACAGGGAGATTGTAAGAAACATGAAAGTTCACATTCAATATAAAACCAGTGTATATAGGCATCATGAGAATGGTTTCAGTACAGGTATATGTTGCATAATGCATGAAAATCTTCACACTGGGCAGAAAACTTACATATGTTAGGAATGTGGGAAAGGATTCTCCAGAAATGCTCATTGTCCAATACATTATAAAATTTGCATGGTTGAGAAACCCTGTGTGTATGTGAAGAATGTGGGAAAGCTTTCACCACACATAGATTTTGTAAAAAACATCTATGACTTCACACTGGTGAGAAAGCCTATGTGTATAACAATGTGACAAAGCTTTTACTGCATATAGTCATTGCAAAACACATGAAAGAATTCACACTGGGAAGAACCACTGGCTATGTAAGCAAGTGGAGACACTTTCAGCAGCCAGATTGTAAGGGAAATACATGAAAAAAACTCACACAAGAGATAAACCCTTTGTGTTATGGGAATACTCTCAGCATACTTGATCATTGTTACATATCTGAAAGAGCTCACTAGGCAGAGATGATATGTGGATTACCAATGTGAGAAATATAGCAATCCATGTTTCTTGTTAAATACATAGAAAAAGCATTACTGTTCAGACAGTTTAGATCTAAGTTTACTTTAAAAATTCCATGGAGACCTGAAGAAATAATCGATACAGAAGTTAGATGTCAATATTTCTTCACAAATATTCCAGAAATGACAAATCTGTGGTGGGGCTCTCCTTAGGTGCACATGTTGTATGGTTTTCAGTTAATCACTTGTACCTCTCTAGATTTATTAATCTAGATGTTTTTGTGCTTCAACATGGCATCTTGTAATTAAACATGCTAAACTGAAATGGGCTTTTCACTTTCAAGTATGGATAGTGCCTCCATACTTAATATTTTGTCTTTAAAACTTAAATTTTGTATTTTCTGAATTGTAATGTTGTTTATTTAAAGAGAAAAAAAGTGTAGAAATAATACAGAATATCAGAAAAATAAACCATAAGAAATCACTAGATGATTAGTATTATATTGTCATCTTAGAAGTAGTTGTTCAAGTTACAAATTTAAAGCATACAAAGTGATATTCAAATAATGACACTGTCACGGTTCACCTCAATGATCCACCAAAAAGTTATTAATATGCCTATCTGTCCTACACACTTTTTTTTCTTAAAGAGGGTAAGATTAAACATAGCAAAACAGAGCAAAACAGTTCATAAGGAAACAAGTTAAGGAAACACAGATTTCAAAGCAAGTCCACTGGAAATGTTCACTGTCTATTTTACTGTCTCTAGTTTTTTTCCAAATAGTTGTTCCCATCCTCACACACATTGAATATATACTGAATATTATAGAACTAATCAAATAATTACAGGATGATGCAAGCTTTTTTGATCTTCAAGACTGATTTGGGGGAAGTCGATAATGACTACCATAATGTCTCATGGTCTTTGTAGTAGCTGTCTTTATCTTTATGTATGCTGAAATGGAACATAAGAGACTAGACTAATATCACTCTGAACAGTGAATAATAGTATCCTGAGAAGGAGAAAGGTGAGGAATTGCCTAAAAAAAGAAGGCAGAGGACATAGTTAAAAGTGTATCAGGATTTAAAAGCTACAGTAGTCTTGTTGCTCTGTATAGTTTGGTTATATTTTTTCTGGTCTGTCTACTCATATTAGATTTGAGGGCACAGAGAGATAACCCAAAAATAGCAGGTTATACCATGGTAATTATCCTTAATTTCCTATTAACTAAAACTGAATCCCTATATTACTTACATTGTCTTCTATGACTGATCTTCTTTGAAGCTGGATTGTTTCAATGTTATTTGGCCTTGACTGATTTTATTCACATTTGATATGCTTGCTGGTATCAAGTTCAAGAGCAGAGGCAACTACTCTGAAGATGACAAGGTGTAAAAGATATCCATTGGTGGGCTGGGGATTTAGCTCAGTGGCTTAAGGCACCTGCCTGTCAAGTGTGAGGTCATGAGTTTGATCTCCAGAGCCAAAAAAATAAATAAATAAAAGATATCCATTCCAGGTTTGATTATTTGTTTAATTAAAGAGAAGAAAGGAAATAAAAAACAAAGCAGTAAAAGGGTACAAGTAATACAGAATTTCAAGAAAAAATACAGTAAGAAATCACTAGTTAATAGGTTACATATTGTCATTGCTAGGGTTATTTCCAAAAGATGAAAAATATTAACAAAAGATGAGAAATATAAAATAAAAAGTGGCCTTTATTCTGAGAACACGGAGAGAGATGACAGGCACCCCCACCGCTGGCATCCAGTGATCTCTCTGTCGGACATGTGGCATGGGGGCCTGTAAATAGGCTTGGTTTGGGGTGGAACCTAAGGCGGGCATTAGGGATACATAGGTAGTCCATTGGTCTTAGGTTTGGCGCCCTATGTAAATTTCCATGGGTGGGAAGATGGCATCACAGGTAACTTCCTAGGGGCAGGGGAGATGGGGCTTCCTGCTTCCGGTTGTGGCTTTCCTGGCTACAGTGACCTATCTGGGCCAAAACCCTTTCAGTCATCTTAGAAACAGTTGTCCAAATTATAAAATTAAAGCATATAAAGTGGGCATTCATACAGTGAGATTGCAGAAGGTTCTGTTCAGTGATCCAACAAAAGCTCAGTAATATGATTTTCCATCCTACACACTCAAGCATGCAGTTATATCCCTTAGACCACCTTCCTTTCCTCTCTTTTTTACAATAACAGTTACACGTTTTGAGTTTTTTTACTCCCACAGTTCTTATTACATTTTTTTGAAGAGAATAAATCCTAACATGACTAAATAAAACAGAGACAGTTAGAAAAGAAGGATGGGCATAGTACATGATGCAAAAATAGAATATCAGATGATCAAAAATGGTTACCATGGTGTCTCTTGCTATTTTTAAAAAGAGTTGCTATATCATCAGGTATAATAGAATTGATCAAAACCGTACAGGACAAGACCAAAAAAACCTACACTGGAAACCTTGCAAGACTTCAAAAGAAGATAATAGTCAAACTATAATGGGCCATCATAATAAATCTTATGGCCTTCAAAGTGGTTGTCTATACGCTCAAACTTGATATTATCAAGCAAAATAGAATATAGTAAAATCAGACAGAACAAGATGTGGAGAGCAATACTGGGGTTCAAATCAGATTAATAGGAAAACTAATAGTTACTATAATATATCCCGCTATTTTTAAATTTAGTTTTCCCTTAATTGAAAAAAATAAAAAAAGTTTAATTTAAAAAAAGTGTGGAGATTGAGATAAAAGAGGATATTGTAATAGAACAACACTGGTCAGAATGGAACAATTTAAGCATAATTGTGTTTCACTCCCAGATAATCTAACATAATAGTAGTCACCATAGTGCCTCATTCCTTGAATTATTTGAGTATAACTTCGTATACAATAGCATCAAACATATCAAGACAGTGTGAAACCATTCAACAGAATGAAAGAATTACAGGGTATTTAGAACCAGTTAACAGAAAACGAACAATGGTTTCTATATTATCTCCTTGCCTATAAAATTTTTCTTTATACTATCACATATAGTAAAATATAGTAAGATACAACATGTTAAAACCAGTGGAAACAGTTTGTTAGAGAGGGACCATTCTTGCACCACTGAGATTGAGTCCAGTGTTGATCATGTTGGTTAATTTTGAATATGTTGGTGAGATAACATTGCAAACATTTAGCTGAACACTTTTGTTTATGTTTGGTAGGAATATTAGCCAACAGAGTGTTTTCATTTATATTATTTTTAACACATTATTGTCTGGCTTCATTCTCAGGATAACTTTAACTTTGTCACTTAAAAGAAGTTGGTGGTGGGTTTTTCTTCAACTTCATCAAAGAACTGAAAAAAAATCAGTATTTATTCTTTATTATATACTGGATAAAATTCACCATTGCACTTTTTGTATCCCAGCTTTGTTGTTGTTATTAAGAAGCTGTGATTTTTACCCATTGCCTGTGCTCCTTATTGCTCTGTTCATCAGACTGTTTCCTTCTGATGCATGTGGCTGGGGACATCAATGGACACCACATATCCATTAAGGGTCACATCTCATTTTACTTATGGATGCTTCCATTTATATTGTATCTTCAAACTATCTCTATAATATATAATTTTGTGAGTAACTCCACTCAGTTACTCAGTTTTTAATGCACACTCTTGCAGGGTTTGGTTAATGCTGGAGGAAACTGGGGCTGGTGAGGGCCTGGTCTCTTATTTAAGGCTTCATACCCTGACCTGCCTGCAGTGTCCCCATCTCCTGACCTGCTCCCTGTAAACACCTGTCATGCTCCATAACTATGGTGAGTCCACATGTGGCAGTTCAGATCTGCACCTGGTTGGAAAACATTCAGTTATGTTGGGCTCTGTAACAGACTGACCTCATACAGAGCTCCCCTGAGTGAGAGATGGGGCCTCAGGCATGTAGAGAAGAGCTCTGGAACCATTCCAGCTCTCTCCTGTGCAGCTTACAGTGTGTGATGCTTTCCTGAGAACTTACTGATGGATGAGGAGGCCTGCACCAGGCCGTTTTAAGCCATGGTGTCCTACACCTCTGCCTGGACCATCTCTCTGACTTTAGATCTCCACATAGATCTGAGCAGACTCAGTCTTCCTCTACCAGGCTCTAACTCTATGCTGAGGTTTAAGGTGAAAAATCTGAGATCCTCAAATTAATCTTATATATATTTAACCTGAAAATTCCACTTCTAAGAGTCATTATAAAAATGAGATTGACAGACACTGCATTCTCTTCTTAATCAGTTAAGATGTGGACTTTTAGAAACCATGAATGTTCCACAGCACAGCTGCTGTGTTAATTATAAATTACAGCCACTGAAAATGCTGAAAGAGGGCCATGTCCTAGGCCATGTCCCTGATCTTTCCTGAGATTGAAGAGAGCTTGTGTCCTGGCTCTCCACCCAGCAGTGAAGAGACACAGGCC